TATCCCCTTTGTCCGGTGAGTAGGAATAAAGTGAGTTCTAAAGTTGCACATTATCACAAAGCAATCAAAATAAAAAAGAAAACAATACATGCATGAACACCATCTAAGAATTACTAGTTATTAGTTCTACATTATTAATTCTTCATGGTTCCCACAACCCTAGTTGTGGAATTAGTTACTCATAGTTATTTTTTCACAATTCATAATGATTGGGTTAAAATAAATCATGAACTTACAAGTTGAATGTATGAAAATCTTGAATTGAAGTTGCAAAGTAATACCCAATGATCAAGGATGTAATTAATACTAATAAGTTCAAGAATTCTTGCAAAAGTAGTTCACAAAAAAATTCTTAAGCTCTAAAAATGAATAACAACAAAAAATAGAGTCCAAGGAAAATATTTATAGAAAACTAATCCTAACCAAAATAAAACTAGGAAAAATAGGATTCGACACTATCTTATGACCCATGACCTACAGACCGTAGGTCCTTGTACGGTTCGTGAAAAGAAGAATTCAATCACCTTCAGGATCTCTTTATACGGACGGGCCCTACGGTCCGTAGACCAGTGTGCGGTACTTCCTTTTCAACCATAGTCTAAGTCCTAAATCTTCATTCTTTATTAATCATCTGCCACCTTCGATCTATCACTTGTAGAAGTTCATACGACTCATAGTCTTTCCTCATGGCTGCAGACTTGACTTCAGTTTCACTGCTCTCTCATCTATGACTGTCACCTACGGCTCGTGAAAGTGACCACGACTTGTAAATTGGCTCTTGGAAGGCCGAAATTTTGTTGCTATCAACTCTCTCAACTGTCAAAATCTATTTTCTTGCAAAATAAAGATAAAACACAATCAAAATCCAAGTTTAAAGCATTATAAGTACCGTAAATTTGTGGTACATTGTGTACTACTTACCACCTCAGCTTCTCTAGTGTGACAATCCCTATTCATCTTATTCATTATATCAAGCAAAGAGTTGGCCTCCTCATAAGTGTGTTACACCAGTGAATCCTCTGCAACATTATTGGCGACAAACTTATTGACTACATCTAACGATCTGTAGAAGCTTTCTAGCAATACCTCATTTGATAGATTGTGATTCGGACACTAAACTACCTTCTTTTTTAATCTTAGCCGAGTTTCATGTAGTGTCTCACCTGACACTTGTTTGAAGTTGTGAATCTCATTCCTAAGTTGGATACGGCTCCTTGGAGGAAAAAACCTCTCCAAGAATGCACTTGTAAGTTAGTCCAGGTAGTGATGGATTCTTTTGGTAACTCTATAAGCCATGCAATTGCTTCACCATTTAGATAGATTGGGAAAAACCTTAGTTTAATTACTTTTAGAGATATATGGTAGGTTATAAGCTAGACATATCCTTGTGAAGTCTTTAAGGTATTTATTCGGATCTTCAAGAAGTAGACTACCGAATAAATCTTCTATACCTAGTAAATGCAATAGCGTACTAGCAAAGTTGAAAGTAGCATTTCTCACCACCAGTGGAGGTCTAATGGCCTCAACATGTCCCACTTTTAACGCAACCTTAACTATCAACCCATGATCGTGTTCGTCACCCATTGCAAAATTCAACCGACTTAATGTTATTTTTATTTCTAGGTCAATTGAAATCAAGAAAGATCCTTGACTCCTAGTATCGAGCATAAATAGTGAAAAAACATGTAATGGACAAAAACAACATTTAGTGTAATTTGAAAAAGAAATCAATAGCTACTTATGAATTTCTATAAATTATAAAACTCTGAACTACACTTCTTGGAAACTATGCTAAATTTTTTATGTCGCCCAAGCTACATTCTTTTAGGGGATTAAAGCGGTCAATGAAAAATAGAATAACCCAACTTGGTTGAGGTCGAACTTCCTAGAGGGCGTACTATAGTTCCTTTATAATTGGATAATGAGATTGAAATCAATAACTAATATTGGAAGAATATTTTTTTCAAATAATAGTCTACTAACTACTTAACTACTTGGATTTTGTCAATAATAAAGATGAACTAGGATTACAATTGTTAGATTTCGAAGCTCAAATAAATACTTTATTTATTCATTCATTAAGGTATGTTCTTTGTGCAAAACTGACGAATCTAAAGTCTCCTAAGGCCTCTCGGTTCAATTAAGAGAATATCACTCTACGTCCTTCTCAAGCACTTTGAGTATCAAATTAATTTGTTACTCTATCAAAAATCTCAAGTTAACCATCCTCTCTCTAGATCAAGTTATTAGATGATGGTTGGTAGAATCAAATCATTGTTAATGAATCTTTTTCCTAATTTGTACCTATATGGTCCAGCATGTCAGAATACGGGCGAGTTTCTGTAGAATGTCTATTAACCATTCACGAATAATGTTAAGTATGAAAGAAACTTAATACACAATGATCACTCCTTCATGAAAATATATTAATTGTAAAGTACTTATTATATATCATCATCCCTAATCTAAGTTACATAACCCTACTTATGAATTTAACTACTTATAACTAACATAAATAATAACTATGATAATTTCAACTACTAGAAAACATGAATATAGAAGAAAGTAAGAGAAACATTTGGTTAAAGCAACACTTGCAAGAAAATCTTGTTTGTTCCAAAATAACCTTCTAAAATGGTAAAATAAACCCTAGAAACTACGAAACAATGAATTCTTATCTAAACTAAGTTGTAATCGTAGAAATAATTTGTGACCCTAAAAAACATTGTCAAAAAGACATATAACTAATAATAGGGTCAAAATCCTAATCTGAATTGTACTCTGCTTTGACTAGGTCAAATCAAATTTGATAGACAAAAGGGACACGACGCGAGGTGCATCACGAGGATCCCTACTTCATGGTGCGGGTCCCATATCAAATTTGTCCTTCTTTTGTTGAGTCTCTACAATTTACTTTCCAAATAAGTGTGGCGTGAGGCTCATGTCACGGTCCTTTCTATAGCTATTTTTACTTCATTTTAGCCCTGATTACTCCATTGTGCGATCCAATCCATTAGGTGGGTCATTAGTAGTTGTTTTAGCTTGAAATCAAGCCAATCATGTCTATTAGCTCATCACATCATATCCTCAATAAATAAAAGGATATTCACATGATTAAACTCATAACTTAGCTTAAATATGAATAAAATATGGTGTTTGAATGCATAAATACACCCCAGATCAATGAGATTTGTCTTCTAATAATAAGGTGACGTCAGTTGGGTGTGGTTCTTCCAAGCCAAGGGCTTTGAACATAGATAAGAGCGTCAAATTTATGCTTGCCCCCTGCCCCAAATCACAAAATGCATGTTTAGTATTCCTTTCACCAATTTGTATCGCGAGTGCAAAACTCCTTAGATCATCAAGCTTTTTAGGAAGCCTACTCATCACTCTAGAACTACACTCATCAGTGATTGATATTAATTTAATTTTTCTAATACCTCTCTTGCATATCAGTTTCTCTTGTAAATACTTTTTTTATTTTGACATGTCTCTCACTGCCACTACAAGAAAACACCAATTTATGGGGGTTATTTTGTCTATTTATGGCAATTTAGGGACTCCACAAATTAAATTGTGGTGATTTATAAAAACGCTACAATTACCCTTGCCACGAGCATATTTGTAGCGCTTTTAACAAACTTCCACGACGTCCTCCTCAAAATGATTATTTAATTTGTGGTGGTTTTTTAGTTTCAATTTGTGATGGTTTAGAACCTTCACAATTTGATCTGAATCTTTTAAAAATTAAATTTGTGTGAATTTAAAATATCATGATATAAAATCAATATTTTACATAGTTTAATTTGTGGAGTCTTACAAAATTATTATTATCATCTTCATAATAAATATGGATTACATCAAACCTTCAAAACAATATGAATAAATAATTTTACTAAATAACACATTAAATACAAATCAAATTTCATTAAACAAACTCTTATTAATAAGCTCCACAAGTTTAAATTAAAATCAAATTAAAGTAATACAAACTTGTGTATAACAAATCGAACATTACAATTTAAAATCCACATAAAATAAACATAAAAAAAATTATATAGCATTTGTTTGGTAATTCACTACAAGAAAGTGGAGATACAACGACATTTTCTAAATGTCGTATTATGATGTTTAAATGTCACAAATTTGTTTACCGACATTTATTTTACATTTGGATCAAATGTCATAAATTTTAGTGTCGGGGATTTTTTCGTCATTTGGGTAATTGTCGGGAAGAATTTGTGACATTTATTTTGTGACATTTAGGTAAATGTTGAAAAGAATTTGCGTCATTTACTTTGCAACATATATGTAAATGTTGGTAAGATTATTACGACATTTATTTTTTGACATTTATGTGAATGTCGATAAGAAATATATGACATTTATTTTTTACATTTAGGTGAATGTCAGTATGAGATATATGCCATTTATTTTCTACATTTAGGTAAATGTCAGTATGAGATATATGACATTTATTTTTGACATTTAAGTAAATGTCGATATGAGATATATGACATTTATTTTTTCGACATTTATGAAATGTCACTTAAACTTTCTGACATTTAGATTAAATGTTGGTAAAACAAATTTCAAGACACTTACTTGTGACATTTATAAAATGTCACATAGAAATTTCTGACACTTTAGTTAATGTCAACAAATGCTATTATTGAATGTCATAAAAATTGGTGATTTTATATTTTGCTAAATGTCATATTAATATTCCAATGTCACTGCCAAATTTCTTTAAACATCCCAGAAAAATCTATATATAGTTTTTCTCAAGACACAAATACATACAAACAATCCGTGAATTCAAAACTATCTTCTTCATGATAAGCAAGAAATATTACATAAAACAAATATTTTCTAATTTTATTATCAAAGAACAAAATAGCAATATAATAAGTTTTCCGTAAAAGTAAACAATGTCAAAACAAATTATCTTTTCTATCTCAAGTAAAATTGAGATCTAACTAAATGTAATAATCTCAACATAAAACCAACTAATTAACTCCTAATTCAAATATAATTAAAATCTCCAGCAAATTTGCAATAAATCTTTATGAAATCATCAATACAAAAGTTGAGCATGTTGAAGTCGATACTTGACCTCAATTTCCTTAAAAATTCTGCACAAGAAATGCACATAAGAAAATTTATAACTATATAATAATAAAAATTAGATCCCCATTAACTAGAACAAATTGGGCTATAAAAAATGACTAATTGATGTTTTCTAAAAACAAGCATATTAAGGAATTGATACAAAAGCAGTAATTATATACATGAAATTTTCCTCCTTTTGAAAGAAAAGAAAAATCTCGTAGTTTTTTCAATCATAGCCACTTCTTTTTATCTGTGCCAACTATGGTATTTTCCAGTCTTCTTGATCATGTTAGCCTGAAAAAAACATTAAATTCATTATTTTGATACTTTACGAAATACAAAACTTAACATTTCATTGAATACATAAGTGTGCCAATTTTTCCAGAAGGAAAATAAAAAAAGTAAGATATATGATTGCTTCAACAAAACAAACATCTGGTGTTGGGACAAAGATACAATCATCCTATAATGCAACTAACAGTGTGATAGCATTAATATGCATTCACCATCTCATATATCTGCCCATGAGCATTCTCCATCTAAATCTTATATTGATCTTGTTTAACTAGATCTGCCAAACAGTTCAGGTACAGGCAAAAATCATCATGAAGACAAGGCACCAGCTGGGTAAACACTGGCCAAACTAGGGGAAGATTTTGGGTTACCAACCCCTATATCCCAAAATCCTCCCTCTATTCCTAATGTACTTAGAGGTATGGACAAAGAAGGAAATACAAAGGCCTCTAAGATCACAGGTATTGAATCAATGCTCCCATTACCCCTCACTCCTTTAGACAATTGTTTAACTGTTGTGGAAGTTGTTGGAGTGTTGGATGGAGAGTTGGAGGAGAACATCACTAACTTGCAGGAAGGGGTATCCTTTATATCAAGTAATTGCAGCTAATGTAATGGGAAGGTATCTATCCAAGAGGTCACCTATATTTCAAATTTCTTGCACATTTTGTTGTGCATTTTCCACATGATCACTCTAGGCTGCAGTGGATAACTTTTTATGCTGAGTAATTATCTACCTATGATAAGTGGTCATTGGGTTGGTCTCGCAAGAAAAACAACCCCTATTTGAAATTCCATTTATCGAATACAAAGTTTCATTTGCAATACAGAACTCTGCATTACTTATGTATCTCTACATAATAAGTACAATGTTTGTTTTCAGGTGTAGAACTCTCCGAAACTTTTGCTTCACTTGGTTTCTGATATGAACTCCATATACTAATACATGCATAATTTATGCAGAAATGTATGCAGTATTATTTTTATGTGGGATATAATGTGGAATAATAATATACATTAGTCTTTCAAGGATACAAGTATCTAAAAGACAAAAATATCCTTAAAGTAAGCAATCACTGCAATCTGCTTAAGCTTGACAGTATCTGTTTTATTATTTACTAGATTCTCTACATTATAATCACTGTATAACAATTCATGTATTGACTGTTACCTTCTCAAAAAAAAAAAACAATTCATGTAGTACAAACCTTTGTTTAATTAGTTCATTAACCAGACAAACCCTAAGAGTTTCAAGGGTGGACATAATAACCTGAAGAAACTACCAATATATACATGCTCCAATCACCTAAATGATCTATATGAGTAAGATATTGGATTTTGATGGTGAATTTGAAAATCAGTGTGAAATTCTAAATACTTAATGACTGTACTTCCCAGAAGAAAGTATCTTTTCTTGACTGCATCATTAGCTTCCGTTCTGTGGTCAGAAATCCTTTGGAAGAACCTCAAGGTTAGTCGTGGTCCTACTCTGGACATTTAGTTTCTGTAGTCCACTCAACTTATGCTGCTCCAATTGTATGTCAGGCATGGCAGATTTGGAAGGTCATGCTTCTCAACACCATCCTAGTAACTGGGTAGAAGCAGATGACGATGATGATGAAGGAGATGAGTCAGAGTTGTGTGTTCAATCAACTCCTCCATATCATTAGGAATACAACAGCTCAATCTGTTGTATAATCCTAACAAGTAGTTTGTTATTGATGAATTTTGCTGTAAGTATGTACAATTACCCTACCAATGCTCCACTTGTCTACTTTGCACTTGGTTTCTTCTTACCTAATCAGTTCTCTATAGGTAATTCATGTTTACCATGAAATATAACTGACCTTCAAGCATGTATATTATTATACAGTTCATTAGTTTGTTGTTTGAAAGTTCTTTTTTTCTCATTCTGGTAAATGAAAATAATAAATAACTAGACACTAGTAAATCAATATCATACAAATAGCCTATCCTTTTCAAATCTTTAACTAAAGAAGGATCTGTTGACTTCCCAAAAAGCTAGACAAGAATCAATCTCTTCAAGGAGATTTGACGTATTGCATAATCTGAAAAGTGGCTTTTAAGTGAAAATATATCTGCTTCTCATGGACACAGTAAACAGAATGATCAACAGGGTAATGTTAATACTTCTCATAACACTCAGAAACAGAATGTTCATTAGAGAGAATAAGAACAAAACATACAAAACAATGGGGGAACAAACCAAGGGAAAACTATAAAAAACAAATCTCAGGGCAAACTAAGCAAAAAGAAGAGAGATGCCATCAAAAGAAGGCAACAACAAGCAGCAGGGACAGAAGAGAATAAGGGGCAAGAGGTACAGGTTCAAGTTGGTCAAAATAAACATAGCAACACCAGAAATACAGATTATGAAATGATACATTCTGAGGATGAGTATGATCAGGACACACAATCTTTGGTGCATGTTTTTCAATTTTGGAGGCTTGATACATGAAAGAGATGACTTTTGTCAACATCCGATGATTCTGGTGTCAGATCAAAATTCTGTCAGTTCCATCAGCTACGAAAGGGTCCTTTTGGTTTAGTGTGATGTTTTGTTCGGTTTTTGAGGCTTTTGTTTGGAGTGTGTACGATTAGGAGTTTTAGCTTTTGTGTTTTGCCAAAGTTTGACCTTGGTCAACGTTCTTGGTAAACGTGCTCGGACTGGAATTCCGTCAATGCATTCCGTCAATGCAGTTAGCTCTAGAAAGCAAAGTTTGGTCTAGAATGACCTTTGGTTTGTTTCCCGAGGTAATCGGGATGAGTATATGGCGTTTAGCATTTTTATGGTAAAAACTAGAAATAATATGATAAATTAACATAGTTTATAATATCACTATACCAACTGAAAAACAACAACAACAAGAAGAACCAAAAAGAAAAAGATGACCACTTAGACTGTTTATGTGGACATGACGCGCGATTAACAGTTGGT